TGTTTCTAAATTTGTATTTATAAAATGCATATTTTTTGTTTATATAACTTAAATAAAAGTTTTCTAGGTAAGAAAAGTTTGTATTGCCAATTATACTTCAAATGTAATATTGTTGTATTAAGGTCTATGTTGTTATTCAACATGCAAAAGCAAGAGTTAGTTTAACCAGATTATGCAAATTAATCATTTAAGTATATAAAACTAATATGTGTTTTGTATAATATTTCTGTAATACTTTGTATTTTGAAGACAATGAAATAGTAAACGGAAAACCATGTATTTTTTTCCTGACAACATGAGACAGGAAATTGTTTTGTTTTCATACTTACAGGACAATTTTATGAATGTATTTAGAGTTTAAGCACAGGGGAATTAACACATACTCCTGCAGGAGCAGATCCCATTATTCACTACTATCACTTAGGCTAAAGATTAAGATGATTCTTGACACTTTTTGCTATTTAAGTAGCTTAGATCTGTATTTTGTCAGTCAATTTTTAAATTTTTATTAGTATAAAGAGAATAAATTTCATTTAGTTCATAAATACATTCCTAAGAAGTTAGTCATAATCCATTCCCCACCCTCCTTCATTCCTTTCTTTTTTTCCTTTAATTTTTTTTAATAACATGCTTTTAATTTACTTTATAATCACAGGCTTAAAGCACTAACCATAATATTCAACAAGTAAAAAATAGAAAGGCCACGGTACCACAGGAATATAGACAAGGTCTATAGACATAAACAACTCATAAGATGTTTCATTCTTGTAAACTGGAATTCTTTTCTATACTATGTAAACTACCGTATATCAAAGAAAACACGTGATATTTGTCTTTCAAGACTGGCTGTTTTCATGAGGCATAATGGTCTCTAGTTACATCCATTTTGTTGCAAAAGACAGGACTGTAAGTAAAAACAAATATATTTGACATAGCAAGCAAGTACACAGATATAAATACATACAGTCAAACCTGTGGGAGGGGAAGAAGTTGTGTATGTGTGCGAGTGTGTGTGTGTGTGTGTGTAGGGGTGGGTGTGCGAATGTCTATGCAAATTACTGTGTATATCTACACACACAGTCACATATATATAATTGAAACAGTATTTCAGAAAACAGTCTTTACCATATTCAATCTAGTATTTTTATTTCATTTTATTCCATTATATTACATTATAAATGCATTTCCCAGCCTTTGGAATTGATTTAAAGATTCACCAGTGGATTGAAATCAACTACTTGAAAAACTGGCATTATAAATTACATATTGATAAATACATATTGCCACACCCACAGTACTGCTCCCACTTGTTAATACCATGTCAGTATGTTACTTAAACTTTGAATAGGTCAGCAGTGAGGTACATGGCCAAAATGATGTTACCATCTATAGAGGAATTATGAGGATTACATGGAATCAGAATTAATTCATTCCTATTATACAACTAAACATCAGTTGTGTTCTATTTGATGGATAGATGATAAGCTTTTAACAAAATGTTATTTGAAAATGATGATACTGTTTTTGTGAAAGTTGATAAGTAGTATCTACATTTTTTCTAGGCAATGTACATTGCTGACAAACCAAGGAAATGATGATAAATATGTAATAAGTAGAGATTTACTCCTGAAGTTATCTAAAATATTAAGAAGATAGAATATTCTTCAGGAAATATTGTTAAATGAAAAAAGAGTTTTAAAATAGTATATAAGGGGCCGGCGCCGCGGCTCACTAGGCTAATCCTCCGCCTAGTGGCGCCAGCACACCGGATTCTAGTCCCGGTCGGGGCACCGGATTCTGTCCCGGTTGCCCCTCTTCCAGGCCAGCTCTCTGTTGTGGCCCAGGAAGGCAGTGGAGGATGGCCCAAGTACTTGGGCCCTGCACCCCATGGGAGACCAGGATAAGTACCTGGCTCCTGCCATCGGATCAGCACAGTGTGCTGGCCGCAGTGCGCCAGCTGCGGCGGCCATTGGAGGGTGAACCAACGGCAAAGGAAGACCTTTCTCTCTGTTTCTCTCTCTCACTGTCCACTCTGCCTGTCAAAAAAATAAAATAAAATAAAATAAATAAAATAGTATATAAGGAGCATTATTATCAATGTAGCAAAATAAGGAAAAATATGTACATACTTTTTTTTCCTAAAAGAAACACTAAACATGGAAGCTGGTAAGCCAGTATGAGGAACAACATACAGGGGACGTCAGCCAGAAAGATCTTCCTGTATATGCATTTTCTCTTAGTCTTCATTCTGATAAATACATATAGGTTTTATATCTTTAATAATTAAAAATAAGATCATATAGTATATGCAGGATAAAGCATAATCATGTTTATATTAAAATAGTGAGGAACCAAGATTTTCATGGAATTCTTTAAAATCAAAAGGATAAAGTTAAAATCCAAGCAATGTTAATTTATGTTTGATAGTAACAATATGAATCCTTCATTTCCCTAAAAACCTTACAGGAATCTCTTAAGATTGATAATATAATTCCCAAAACACACAGAAGGATAAGATTTTTATTGCTTAAATGGGGAAAATTGTGACAAATTACAGATAACCTTCAAACATAGCTGATTTCCTATAAAATATTTCTTAAAATATTCATAAACAATAATGATTGCTACATTGATGGGATCTAAAATGCTTAGACTTTGTTTCCTGGTCAGCAGTCATTACCGTTATTAACACACCTGTTAATTTGTATGTAGTGACATGGACTATTTGCCTGGTGTAGGACAAGCTGTTAATTTATTATGTAGTGTAACAAATAACACACAATGATCAGAAAGTTATTTGCAAATTAAAATTAATTCAATAAATCACTTGTAATAGAATGTTCTTCATCAAGCTGAAGGAGACATGACCCTTGAAGAAGGTCACAGAAAGATGAGGTGATAAGAGTCAGCAGTCATTGACTGCTTGCAGAAGGTGATGATGTGAAGAATTAGGGGGTGATTTTAGCCAAACTGTCATGCTGAAAGTAAGTGATAGAGATAACCTGCATCTTGGAGCTGCTGTAGAGACTGCTAAGCAGGAAAGCATTGATAAATCCTCAGAGGTGGTTTTCAAGCTGACAGAAAATAGAGTTGAAAATTAAGATTTGCTTTTTCTTCTATTCAGAAATTCTTTTCATATAGTGTTAAGAGATGTCATGCTATTTTCAATGAAAGGTATACTATCACACTGAGTATAACCCAGTGAAGATTTCCTTAGGACTATCTGAACCATTCAGAGCACTTCTTCAGATTTCTACACACTATTCTTATATTCCACCAATTTGAAATATAAGAATACTTTGCCACCTGTAATGTGGTTTATGATATTGTACCAGTGTGAAAGATACAAATAAATGTTTCCATTTGATGTGTACCACCAACATCAATCTAAAAATGAAATAGTGATAGGTTTATACACACTGTGTAATTTGATAATTAAAAATATAATCTTTTGGGGGGGTGTAAACATTAACTTGGGAAACATTCTACATTTTCTAGATCTACCCTATGAGATCTAGAAATGTAGTTGTATGGCACTGAACACATCTTATCTCAAATAGTAGCCTCTAAATGTCAATTTCCAACTAAAAGAACTAGGGCTCCTTGGAGAAATACTGGCTCCAGTTGTGGAAGAGAAAAATGAGCAAGATGATTTTATGATATCTGTGCATCCTGGACATCAGAGGATCTGTCAGATAAAGGGCTGATATCATTACAGGCACAAACACACAGGTGTCCCAATGAGCCAAAAGTGGGATAGCGAAGCATCCAAGCACTATTTAGAACACTTGACTGAAGTGTTATGAACATATGTGGAAAGGAAGGTGGAAGGAGGATGAGAAAGAAGGAAGAGCGGTAAGAGGGAAGAGAGGGAAAGCCAGAACAATGTAACAAAAACATGCTTAGTAGTGACTTTTCGATGGAGCACAGAATGGAAATCTTCAGTAATGGGGCTTTACAACTGTGGAGAGCTATATTTCATAACAAAATAACAAGGGTATGTATATTAGCAGTCAGAAGTTCACAGAAGATGTGTAATTGTGAAAAAATACATGAGTTTCAAAAATTGGTGCATCAAAGTAAACTTTTTAAAATTATATTTTCCACAAACCTTTTGAAGCACCCTCTTGTATAGATGTTTCTTTTATCTATTTTTGGCAGAGAGCTCAAGTTTTTTAAGATCAATATCTGTTTTTCATATGTACAATTCCAGGAATATAAGAACACATCCATTCTTCTCTCTCTTTCTTCATATCTCTCCTTCCTTCCTTCCTCCCTCCTCCCCCCTTTCTTTCTTTCTTTTTCTTGTTTCTCAATTTTTGAGATACCATATTTTTATTTGCATTATAGTCAAAGGCTTAATGCTCTTCTAAATAAAGAGTTTAACAAGTAAAATAAAGACACTGGTTCAACAGGAATATAGGCCAGGGCTATTAACAATACTCAAATCAAAAGATGGCCATTTCACTCATATACAGCAAGTTTTAAAATAATCACAAATCATTGTTTGAAGAAGCCAAAAACTGGAATCACTTAAATAGATACTATAATGTATTAATAAAATGCAAATAGTCCTTGCTTTTATGGAGTATTATGCAGACACTAAAAAGTAGCAAAACTTTATGAAATTATATATACATTTTCCCATAATATATTGTTTAGTGGAAAAAAGGAATTTTGAGTAATAAAAAGGCTTTATTGCATCTTTTTTACAAAATAAAATACGATGTGATTATAAAAATTAATATATTTGATTAAAGGAGGAAAGACTGGCATCTTAAGACTATACCACTAACAGTGGTCTCCACTGAAATTAGAATTCGAATGCAAGTGTGGGTGGGAGTAGTTTGAGAGGCTACTTCACATATCATTTTATATATGTTTATATCTTTCAAAGCTTATTTAGAGGCACGTACTGATATAAAACATGAGAGGAAAGCCAGTGATCGCGTCCAGGTACTAGTTATACCATTCCTTAAACCTGTCTGTTTCTTCCAAAGGTGTGATGCAACAAACAAGACTTGCCCCCCAAATTACATGTGGAATAATCACATCTGCAGATGCCTGGCTCAGCAAGACTTCATTTTTTCTTCAAATGCTGGAGATGGTAAGCGGAATAATATTTCAAAAACTAAAGGCCAAGAGTCTATATTTTGATTAACACATAATTTAATATTAAAACCACATGTGCAATATTCAGATCATCATTCTTTGAAATAAGTGACTACAAAATGGAGCATTTTTTTTATTCATCTTGGTATTGTTTTGAACGTTTTTGTAAAGGAACATACCCATGTTTGTACATAACCACTTAATGAAAAACATAAAAAGGAAGATTTTTAAAATGCTTTTAATTAACCCATACCAGAACCAACTAAGGTATAGTCAGGATGTTCTGTGTTTGTCTAGACTCTGCAGATGGATTTCACAACATCTGTGGACCCAACAAGGAGCTGGATGAAGAGACTTGTCAGTGTGTCTGCAAAGGGGGCCTTCGGCCTTCCAGCTGTGGACCCCACAAAGAACTCGACAGAAACTCATGCCAGTGTGTCTGTAAAAACAAACTTTTCCCCAGCTCATGTGGGGCCAACAGAGAATTTGATGAAAACACATGCCAGTGTGTATGTAAAAGAACCTGTCCAAGAAACCAACCCCTCAATCCTGGAAAATGTGCCTGTGAATGTACAGAAAATCCACAAAAATGCTTTCTAAAAGGAAAGAAATTCCAACATCAAACATGCAGGTAAGAGTTCTTTAGAAATAGTGTAAGGTCTCATACTGGAAATAAAATGTTCTCAAGTAAAAGCAGGTTTCTTAACCAAAACTAGCATTTATCAGAATGTAGCTAATAAGTTCTGGAAGACAAATTCTAGCATTTTCATTAACCAATGCTAAACTTGCATGAGATACTTTGCTCCCAAAAAAGTGAGACAAGCTGCCTTGGAGACCAAAATCAGGTCCAAATTCAGAGTAAAATCTACATCCTTGACCCAGAGGCTAAGGAACTGATGATCAATAAGACTCAGAAATCTTGTAAAAAATTTACAAAATACATGCAAGCACTCACATTCACACCCAACAAAAACCATTACACCTTCACATGGAATTTAGGAAAACTATTCTAAGTACAGGTGATTTTTATGCAAAAACTCAAAAAAGAATACTACCACTTACTGTAGAATTATATCTAGAAATATGTATACTAAGTAATGGAATTGGAGAGCCCAGTTAATATGTTGTTAAAAGTTACTGAAAACTTACTTCGTAAACCTTGGTTTTATTCTCTTCTTCGTCAAGAAAAAAAAGTAAGATTAGTGGACTCAAGAACGTTCTGTGTTAGTCTGAGAAATTCTTTAACCTCAAAGAATAAGGTGATCTGTTTAAGGCAGATCTGTGCTGTTGGTATTTTCTCCCACATTTCTTCTATTTGCTTCCCTAACTTATGCATCTTCGTCTCTGTTTTCTTCTATCAGTTTCTAAATGTTTCTGATTTCTTCTGGTTTGTTGGCATCTGTGATGCTGAGCGTACTTTGGCAACCAAGCTCTTGGTCCTGTTCAAAGTTGCTCAGTAACTAGGTATTTGGCATTAGAATTCACCTTTCTTTCATCTCCCGTTCATTCAACTCTGCTGGTTTTCTACAGCCTAGAATTCTACGTTAATGTTCTCTGTGAGGTGTCAGTAACCTTACAATTTCCAAATCCAATGAGTAATTTTGTTTTAATGTAACCTGTCCTTTCTGTAGATTTTTTTCTTTAAGTTTTCCTGTTCTTTGCCTTAAATAAAATTGCACTTTCCTGGTTGTTCACTTAATTTTCAGACAGTTTGTTTTTAGTCATGTTCATAGGAGTCTCTTCTGTCTACTCTTTAAATATGGTTTATAACACCCTCCTCAACAGCTAAAACTTGTATGTTATTCATTTATAATTTAGTATCTTTACTAATGCCTATTATTGTCCCCTCAAGTAAATAGAATCTGTCTTTTTGACTCTCAGGAGTGTTAAGCTCTGCTTTTAATTTATGCTTCTGATGTTCTCTCTACATTTACAGTTCAGCTACTGCATAAAGAGACTTTGATGTATCTCGGTATTCTCATTGATTATATTTTTTCTTCCCTTATCATTGCAGATTACCTTTTAGGAATCCTTTTAGTTCATCTTTAGAATTTTTAGCAGTGACTTAATTCCAATTTTGCTGCATAACCATATTCTAATTATCATAAGGATATTTCAAAAATGCTCAGAATATTCAGGATGAGACATGATAAATTTAGGAAACAGTTTTACCTTGAATCTTCCCTAAGTGAGTCTAGTGTATATTGAAAACCCTGAAACTGTTATGTCTCTATGCAGCATTTTTCTACAGAATTCTTAATTAGCATAATAGATAATAGAAGACTTCTATGATTATACTTCTTCTTAATTATATATATTCTTTTATAAATGTTTTCTGTTTACTGTAACTCTTACTGTGTTAATTTTGCCAAGTGTATGATTATAGGTTTTGTGTTATTAAATGCAACAAAAGAGAAAATTTAGTATTTTGAATATATATACCCCCTTCTCATTCTCCCTTAATATTTACTCCGATAGTTTGATAGACCGAGCATATATTCCTTGGTCCACTGTTTGAATCAACAGTTTTCATTAATCATTGGAAATTGTGTCTCATTTTAGTAAAGGAACACCCGTTGTCTTATAACCTTGAATTTGTGTTTAGGAAGTAAAATAAATGAAATTAAGCTAAATGTATAGGACATTTTGTAGTCCACTTTTGATTTCCACCTAGATCATCTCATATCTTTCCATGTACACCCATTCCCACTTGTTCTGCAACACTCTCATACTGTACTCATGCAACACTCATGCTTCAAAAAGTTCTTCAGAGAAGAGTGCCAATTCTTCAGAGCCGCAGAGCTGCCAACAGATTAACTAATTGGTAATTTTCCCCTTCATCACTACCGCAAGTTGAAAGTTTAGGATGGGAGAAGTTGTAAATACTGCCCTGGCCCTCCACTTGCCCAGTATCTCATCTGTCTGAGTTGGAGCCCAGGTGGAGAAGGGAGACAGAACCTCCATCATGCAGCCAGCTGTTGAGTAGGGAAGCAAGAGTGAGGATAGGACTGCTCACCGAGGACAGTCCTGCCAAGATGCCTGCGTCCCAGACTCTTGTGAATTCTGTCACGCTGTGTGATCACATGTGTTACTTTCTTCCACAAAGCAGAGCACTTCAAAAGAAATGATGCTTAAAACATCCCATTCTTTCATTTGTTCTATCAGCAAGCAAAACATTCCTCAGGCTTTTCCATTCCTCTTGAATTTTGTAATTCTAAGCACAAACTTTATAAACACTTATAAACCTACAAACAATTTTATAATGAAATTGGTAATTTTGTTCTAGTTTGAAATGTTGAAAAACACAAGACTACATGCTTTGCATGATGAATTCACTGCCTTGGTATTTAACAAAAGTGTGTTTCTCTGTGTTTTCCTAGCTGTTACAGACGACCTTGTACAAATCGACTGAAGCATTGCGAGCAGGGACTGTCATTTAGTGAAGAAGTGTGTCGCTGTGTCCCTTCATATTGGAAAAGACCACACATGAACTAAGTTTGTACTGTTTCCCAAGTCACCATTTTTCTCTCATGGAAAACTGTTATCACAGTAGAACTGTTTATGAACAGAGAGACCCTGTGGGACCTTGTCACAAAGGCAAAGGTTGGTGTTTCCTGAACCACCTGTGTGGATAACGTTACAGAAATGGACTGGAGCTCATCTGCAAAAGGCCTCTTTTAAAGACTGGTTTCCTCCCAATGACCAAACAGCCTAGGTTTTTTTTTTTTTTTTTCTCTAGTGATTTTTTTAAAAAAGAATAATGACTATATAATTTATTTCCACTAAAAATATTGTTTCTGCATTCATTTTTATAGCAATAACAATTGGTAAAGCTCACTGTGACCAATATTTTTATATCTTGCAAATATGTTTTAAATAAAAATGAATATTGAATTATAAGTTGGTAAGTTGAGTCCATTACTGCCTTCCATAATAAGCAAAACTGGAATCATGAAAACACAGAAGTGCCCTGTCCCTTTTTCTTTTTCCCTCACCAAATAGCATATTTTATAATTATGCAATTGTGACCCTATAAAAGGAAGTTTCAGAGGGACAGCAGTATGCTACTGCATTGTCTGTAAATTCATCTATTAACTTAACTATAATGGCTGGTTTAACACCTGATACTTTTGAACCTAAAATCTTATGAATCAATATAGAACCCTTTGTAAGATAGTCTGCCTAGCATGTCCATGGGATTAAAAGTTATTCAGTACACTAAGAGCTCAGACTCTAACTTGGTACTCAACCCTTCAGTGTATTTTAAAAATGTATTTAACATATTTTCTCAAAAGATTCAAGAATAATCTTTTCCAAATATTTAACTTTTTCTAGCCCACTAAAATGAATTTTGTGAGCAAAAGTGCCCCTATCCATCAGTTAAAAGAAACTAGAAATAATATTTAAATGCTCATATAAATTTAAAAGGAAACACTTCAGTCAGAAGTTGTTTCAGTGTTTAAAAGGACATCACAGTAAAGTACTTTTCTCTGGGAACAAACATTTTGCCTGCATAAATACAAATGCACAGTTTGCTTGTCGACAGAGATGGAATTATATGTACATGAGACATAACTATCATATAAAATAATTAGTCCTGAGAGGAGAAGATAATTCTCCACAAACTGGATGAAGTTAATTTTCCAGAAAGTAACACATTTAATATAATGGCAACATTTGAAGTTACTATAGTTGACCAAGAAATACGAGATATTATTATCTGTGTGTTTTGCTGTAAAATAAACAATTTTTCACAATATATAATTAGGAAGTTGATATACTGACAGTTAAAACATTTTACATGTGTTGTATACTGAATTCCAATTGTGTCTACTGTACAACATTAGCACCTAGTTTATGAAGTATGATTGTTTTCATGTATTGGAAAAGGAAAAGACTTGCAAAATTCTCTCAATAAACATTTTTGGACCATGTACTTATTTTTAATAAAGATAATTCTGAAGCCTATAAGGAGACATTTATAGTCTACATTATATGTACTAGACCTAGCCAAAATCTAGCTACTTTTCAAATTCAGCCAAAGAGAGAAAGAGGGAAAGAGAAAGGAAATTTGACAGCAGCTAGATTTCCTAAAATTTATTTAAATAAACAAATTTGGGGTGACTATAGGAGGAAAATTGAAATCCAAATAACCTCTTTCCATCTGTCAGAGCAGTACAGTCCCTAGGGCATAAAATGTTTATCACCTTTGAAATTCAGCAAAGATTTAGTTCAATCATTTTTCATCTCAGGTGAGACAAAAAATGAAAGCAAGCACAAAGGCCATCACTATTGTCAATCACTTTAGATTCAATATATTTAAAGTGTATTTTATAGAGAAGGTGTTTGCCCTACCAGTTAATTGCCAGCTGGAATACTGACCTCTGCTAACCACGTACCTGTATTCAATCCCCAGCTCCAGTTCCAGATTTCAGTTTTCTGACAGTGTAGAGCCTGAGAGGCAACAGTGGGTGGCTCAAGTAGATGGGTCCCTGCCATCCTCCTGAGAAACCTAGACTGAGTTCCTAGCTCTTGACCTCAGCTGGATCCAGTCGTGACCAATGTAGGCATTTGCAGAGTAAAGCAGAAGATTGCTCTACTCTCTCCCTCCCTCCCTCTCTCTCTCTCTCTCTCTCTCCCCTCCATCTTTGTCTCTGTGTCTATGCCTCACAAGTAAAATTATTAAAATGAGTAAAATGTGTGAATATTTTCAGATAATTTAGGGAAAATATGTTCTAAATTTCAGTGGACCACTAAAGCCATGTGAAGTATATGAGAATCACGTACAATGAATCCTCTATGTTATGAATGTAAAAACCAATTAAATTCTGTGCTGACAACTAGCTTTTCATACTAATCAGTAAATTTAAAAACATAAATCACTAGACAAAAGTTTAAAGCCTAGAGCATGCCAGAAAAATAACATTTAATTTTTCTCTGGAGACATAATAATTACCATCAAAAGGAAGAATAGCATGGACAGTGATGATACATCAACAAAAATTCTTGAAAAAATTTTGTATGGCCCATAAAAATCCCACTTTAACACATTAAAATGAATGAGTTTCAAGTATCCAATAAACAAGATGGACAAGAGACAATATTAAACATTTATTTAGAATGTTACCTAATATAAGTCATCAAAAAGCTAAAAAAATACAATAATAATGTTCATAAACTCTGCAAAAGAGTCCCAAGATACCAATTCAGGCAATTTAAAGGATAAGGTTGAGAAGAAAACACTGGAAGCCCAGAGAAACAGTTAATATATCCAAATCTTGGGAAGTTTCTAAACAGAATATTATGTCCAGAAACTTAATACTGTATACTCAGTTTAAAAGACTCAAGGAAAAAATGTTTTTGGTAAGCAGTTGTATGAGATTTAGTTTCCAGATTTTATTTTGTGTTTTTTGAAAGGAATCTTTGGCATTTACTAACTGTTTGAGCAAAACAAATTTGAATTTTTAAAAATAAACCTTTATCCTGTACATCCACACCAATTGCAGTGATGGATATAAAACTGAATTCACTGGCATACCCCAAATGCACTTTCAGGAAAGGAGAAAGGGTGATGAACTAACTTCCCTCCCTGTATGATCAGGGACACCCTTATTCTGAAGGAATTTTACTAATTGGTTGAGGGAGAAGACAGACACAGTTGAGAAAGATTATATAATAGTCATTGATTTAGGAGCCAGAATTTTGGCATGGTGGGTAAAGCTGCCACCTTCAGTGTTGGCATCCCATACAAGCACTGGTTCAAGTTCAGGCTGCTCCACTTCTGATCCAGCTCCCTGCTAAGACTCCTGGGAAAGCAGCTGAGGTTGGCCCAAGTGCTTGGGCCCTTGAACCCATGTGGGAGACCCAGAAGAAGCTCCTGTCTCCTGGCTTTACATCAGCCTAGGTCTGGCTGTTGCAGTCATTTGGGGAGTGAACCAGCAGATGGGTCTCTGCCTCTGTTTCTCTTGGCCTCTTTCTCTCTGTAACTCTGCCTTTAAAACAAATAAATAAATCTAAAAAAAAAAGAATTGAGGGAATTTATATTTTTTTAAAAAGTAATTGATATAGCATATTGCCAAACTGCTTGCTCTTAGTTCCCATGTTGATATATCTAGGAAGTGTTGGGATAAGAGTGACCCAAACTCACATGTTCCATGCTTCTCTGCATTACCATGATGTCCCCAAGATCTGAGCTTTCATTAGCAGACTTCAAGGGATAGTTTTAGTGACTTCATCTTTTGAGTTAAGAATGACAATGTCATAAAAATAATGTTTCTTTTCATTTATTTAGAAGGCGGGGGTGGGGGGGGAGTGCTTCCATCTGCTGGTTCAATCTCCAAATGACCACAATGGCCAGGTCTGGGCTAAGCCAAAGCCAGGAGCCAGGAACTTCATCACGGTCTCCCACATGGGTGCAGGGGCCCAAGGACTTGGGCCATCTTCAGCTGCTTTCCCAGGTGCATTAACTGGGAGCTGGATGGAAGTGGAACAGCCAGGACTATAATTGGTGCCCATATGGGATGCTGGTGTAGCGGGCAATGGCTTAACTCATTTCACCACAATGCCAGCCCGCCAAAATGGTGTTTCATCTTGCAACAGAAGAGAAAGTATTGGGATGTCTAATTTTTATATAGTAGAAGAATTTTAGGAAATTCTGAATAAATTAATTATTATACCCTAAAAGGGCATATAGTATATGAAAATAATTATTTTAAAAGTTAGAGACACATATAAAATAATTGCTTACAATATAAAACAATTGCTTACAATTATGTTGCTGTTAGGTTATCTATTCAGGGACTGTTTGAATTTTGGTATACTGGAATTTGTTTTAAGTAAAATTGAGTGTCTGTTAACTTATAGAAGTAGAAACCAAAGATTCATATGGTCTTTTTGTAGCTAACAAATCTTTTCTTAGAGAAACATAACAGAGGGAGCACTGGGTAAGAATAATAAGCCAATTTTTTAATCCTGATTTTTCTGCTAACTGTAAATCTGAGCATGTCAACAAACCCCTGAGTCTGAGAATTTTAATTTGTAAAAGAGGGTATTGTATTAACATTGTGTATGAAGTTCTGGCTCTGAAATTATATTTTGTACTGAACTACATGCAGAGAGAAATCAAAACCAGAACATTTTTATTTATTTACTAATTGAAAAGCAGAGCAACAGAAAGAAAAGGGATAGAAAAATATCTTCCATGTGCTGTTTCATTTCCTAAATGCCTGCAACAGCTAGGGCTGGAGCAGGCTGAAGCCAGGAGGCAGGAACTTCATCTTGGTCTTTCATGTGGCTGTCTGGGGAATGGAACACTTGAACCATCATCTGCTGCCTCCAGTAGTACACATTAACAGGAAGCTGAATTGGAAGCAGAGACAGAACTTGATCCCAGTCACTCTAATTTGGAATGCAGGCATCCCAGGTGGTAGCTTAACTTACCATACCACCACACTCACCTAAAACCAGAACAGTTTTATGAATTTCAGGGAAGCATCATTCTTGAGATTAGTGACATAAGGGGTCTTCTAAAAGGTTATGGAAAGTGTACTATTTCAGGACTATACATAGACTGCAGTACTTTTTGCACCATAACAAACTGACTTTCATTTCATTTTCCACTAACTTGTTGACATGCCCTCATATTTTTTTTTTACTTAAAATGTTTTATATAGTGGTCGGCACTGTGGTGTAGTAGGCTAAGCCTCCACCTGTGGCCCCCAGCATCCCATCTGGGTGCTGGTTCGTGT